GTGTATGATGTCTATTATGAAAAAGTTTATTCATAAATTGTCAATAAAAAGAAGGCTATAATTTTTCAGTTCATTATCCCAAAATCCATTCGTCAAAATGTATTGGCATCATCCGAGCTTTGAATTATATATTCTACTCGTTAAAATTTACTCCTTTAAAAGATCGGCGATTTTTTTTTTTTTTTCCCATTACTAACAATTTTCTTAACTTACCATAAATATTGAATTAGCGTGAAACGACTTACTATCTTTTGATTTTTTACAAGCTTTCGTTAAATAAATAATTATTTAAGAACGATGAACGATTTCTTTGCTTATCTTTATATAAATGTTTTCAAAATGGCACTTGTAGACAGTTTAGGTCATACATTTCACAATATATTCTAGCAGCAGGTGAATTAACATCTTTTCCTTAACATAAGGCGTAAGCAAACAACGTTTTTCTTCCAGTGATAAAACCAGTTATATAGTTTTATTATTTTAAAATTATCTTTTCTCATTTCTGCGATCAATTCTTCAACTTTCTACCGCATTTAAAGCTGCCAACTGTGGCATCTTTCTGACAAACATTTAAGCCAAAACTTCAGCGCTTTTCGAACAAGACTTTCTCTCTACATAGCGTATATAAGCGCAAATATTTTAATTGTTTACTTCCTTTTACGAAGTAAAGGAAGTATTATAAGCGTAAAAAATTCTGAATATCATATTTTAACGAAAATATCCATTTTGACCGCTCCCCAATTCACTTGTCCAATTTTGTTGCGTGACATCCGTACGTACGGACAGAATGCCGGACTACTTTTTTCCAAAAGAGATTGTAAAATGGATTCAAAAGGGATTAGGAAGAGAATTTTTTCATGATGTCTGTACGTGCATACGTCTGTATTTCGCATAACTCAAAAACGAGTAGCCTCTGAACGTTGACATTTTGTGTCTGGTACTGCTGTAGCATGTAGCTGTCTGCTATAGCACACTTCCTTTATGCTGATCTCTCTTATCAAGAAAAAGTAGATGGTCTAAAGCCAAATCCTAATCTGCATGCATTTATAATTGATCTAGAACCGAAATTAGGTATTCCTGTGAATGTGAATGCTCAACTTCAGATAAATGTAGCCATTCCAAAATGGATGAAATTGAGCAACTTCAATTTCCTAAAGAAACTGTATATTGTTCTGTGTTTTGGTTCAGTGAGTTTAGTGACACACCGCTGAAAAATTAAAATTTGTGACTAAAATTGTTGCCACAATATGTGACTATTGGTTGCTTCCTGTCAGTAATATGTGGAGAAATTATTCTTGTTTTACTCTTCACAGAGCTATTCGTCAGCGGCGGCAAAAACCAAAGAAAGATATGGTTTATACAGTTATCAAAGTTGTAAATTCAAAATGATGGCTATGAAAATTAGTGAAACCTAAAGGTTTGTTATGCTTAAACTTGAATGGAAGTGCCATTTGAATTTTGTACATAAATATTTATAAATTAATTTTCTTTTTTATAAAAGAGTTTGTGGTGTAAATTTATACTTGTCTGTATGTACTGGATATAAAAAAAAGCTGTTTATTTTCGTATAGCTTGTATATCAAATATTGTGTGTATATTCTGATGCTTATTTATCAGATCATAAGTATTCCAGTTGCATTGTGCTTAACTCCTGTTTGTATTTTGTTTGTTGACATTTTGAAGACAAATATTTTAATTCCCTATGGAAGGACAAATGTTACTTGTCTAACTGGAAAAGAAATCTGCATACATTGACTTTTTTTAAATGCCAGAGTGTGTTTTGTGTACAGATTGGTCAAAAGGCACCTGCATTAAGAGTTACGTAAGATCGCATGATTAATTTGAATGACGCACTTTAGACTTAAGCGCTATTTTTAGGACCGAGAGATGAAGTTCCCAAATGAAATAAAAAATAAAAGAGGTTATATTGCATTAAATTTAGAAGTTCACTTTCATATTTTTTAGCTTACACATTATTTTTTAATTATTACTGGTCAAAATTTTATGATTTATTTTTTTTTTTTTCATTTGCTAGTGCTTCAACGCTTTTTCTTTTAAAAAGGCTTTTCTGTCGCTACGTCCTTTTCTTCTTGAAGGGAGGATATGTAAGAAATATAAAGGATATATAAAAGATTAAATTAGCAACGTAAATTTCTCTTCTCTATTCTAAAAATAGTAACTTCTCTCTCTGCACTGCGTCATTTCAAGAAAAATCCATGTCATGTGATTCTTACGTAATTCTGATGATGTAAATGAAACTAAAATTCAAACAGCGAATAATAATTTTACAGCAATATTAACTATCCAATCAAAATGCTTTGAGAACCAAAACTAATTTAGTTTGCCTTCAGATTTCATCCTGAACATTACGCACTTGCTTTCCACGCTTGACTTAGCTACACGGCTGTCTTTTTCTGCTTCTTCGTTTTGCTACAAATATATAAAATCTAAGCCTTTTGGAACGGCATTTAATGTGCCCGACATGTGTGTAGCCGCAACAGGCTGCTCAAAATAAACTGAAGATATAATCTGCCTTCGCCTCCAATTTCCTGGCATTGCTTCCTGAGATTGAATATATTATATTATATATTAATATAATTACCACCTGTTACCGGCTCGGTGAGCTGAGTGTGTTTGTCTTGTAATGTTGGTAAATCGTGATTTTGTTTCTTTAAAAGTGATTGAATTTTTTCTTATATTTTCGGTAAGGTTTCTGTTCCTTAATTAAACTGCGTGCAAAAATTACAGAATTATTAACAAGGTGGGCTGTTGTTTGTTTACATTTGAAAAGTTTAGTAGTATAATGAATTACGGTCGTTGGTGCACCGCTCAGCGTTTTCTGGCTATGGAACCAAAGTTAACTTTCAGTTTTTGTGCGCCGAAAGTTACGTCTTCCTTCCTTAGCCAAATTACTTGTTCTGGTGTTTCATTTGAATTATAAAAATTGCTTTTTTAACTGTTTTTTAAATGTATTTGGTGTTTTATTTTTTTTCTGTATTTTAGAAGTTTTAATGACATATTGCGAGTTTTATGTGTTTTTGCATGGTCCGAAAGTGAGAACTGAATGTATTGAATGAGAGCTATATCTCTAATGACAATTCTAGGAAATAAGGTAAAATAAAGTGCGTAAATGTGTATGATTTAATAGGACGAGCAGGGAACGGTTCGAATTAATTATTTGTGGAGAAAGACCTAACTCTCGCATAGCTTCTCATTGTGATCTGAGCCCACGTCAAACTAAATACGTTCAGAGGCTTTACAGCTTAGCTGCCGGTCACCTTGCATGTTTGAAGCTAGAATTACAAAATTAGAAAAATTCAATTCAATTCAGTAACTGGAGTTTTGTATAAAACATATTACTACTTTGATAGTTTTTTATTGCACTTCATCTGTGCTCAACAGTGAATCCGTAATCAGCGGGTTTATTAATACGTAACGTAGTAGTGTGTTTATCAGATTGAAATATCAAAAATATGGCACATCCGTTCTAAAGTCAAACGATTTCCAGAATTTAATTTTGGCCTTACCTTTTCGACGACTAAATTTCAATGAGTTCCATTAATCCTTGTATTTTAAGTTTGCGTGAATTGACAGTCAAAATATGTTTGCTTTCACTTTTGTCTCTTTATTAATTTCTTTAAAATTTTCTTTTGCGGGATCTGTTAGCTTAAGAACTTTCCAAATTTTTAAACCTTCATTTTGAAAATTTTGAAATTCGCCAAATAGCGTTGTATCGCCAAATCTAGTAGTTCGCAATTTCCACTACCTTTTTATAAAATATTAGCAGCTATTTTTTTACCGTTACATGTTTCTAAGTGAGTAGATTCACACCTATTTTTTTCCCCAAAAAACTGAGAGTTCAGGATTGGAAGACCTTGTTTGTTTAGTTTTGTCGTCATTGCATTTATTGCGAATTTCTTTGGCATTAAGAAATAATGACTGGCATCAAAGAAGATTTACTTTACACTTCACTCACTCAAAAGATCATGAGAACATGAAAGTGTTCTCAGGTTTTATCCATTTGAAAAAAGAAAATTACTTAAATGACGTATCCAGATTATCAGTAGCAGACTGTAAATGCTATTCTTCTCTTCTAAACCTTTAATCCTGTCTATCTTGAAGTAAATCTTTAGCTTCTGTTGTTTGAAGTTGAGGTATTAAAACTTTCTTCGAGTTCAATATTTAGACGTTCTCATAAATTTGGGAAACTCCCTTTAGATCCTGATTTAAGCCTTGAAAATGAAAATAGGTCTTAAAAATGAGTGATTTTAAACTAAGAAATGAAAATTAACTCTTTGTTTTAAAAATTACTGCTGTGTCGAAGATTGCTAAGAATCTCCGGAATGTTGAGGATCATCTTCCAACAGTTGAAAACCAAGATGCAGCTGTACTCCTTGTACACAAATAAACATACAGAACAGAACAAATATGAGTTGCCTAATGCGTAATGTCGGGTTATGAAAAGAATGCTTTACCCTGTACCATACGATGTAAAGTATGTTTCATATAATAAAGTTTTCCAGAATAATAGGTATGCTTATCGTAAGTCCATCGCTACGTGTGGATAGATATGTATCCTACCATTAAATACGGCTGGGACGTATGTGGCTCAAGCCTTTGGCTTGAAACCCGTTTGCCAAAAAAATTCGAAATGATAAATTTACGTTATTTTTGACATATTTTGTCACTTGGGTGGAAAACGGGGTAATTTTTTTTAAAATTCGCAGTCAGAGGGTTAAGCTTCAACTTGGATCTAAACATAAGGTTCTACGTTCTACGTTGCTACATTTACCTTCTTAAATATTCAAGTTCCACAGCCAACACTGATGTGTTTTACTCATGAAATGAAGCTCAGGATTGCAGTTTAGATCATATAGTTCTTTATGTTAGGACGTTCGTATAATCTTAAATTAATTAAACACTCCCAAATGTTATATGTCACAAATATGTATGCTTAATATTCAGACATTGCCGTTAAGAACACGTCACTTTTTTACAGGAAAAAAATGCTTACGAACCAGGCAACAACTTTCATTGATTGTTCGTTTATGTATGGTGTAACTGAAGAAGCAGCAAGGAAACTAAGAGCACTTGATGGAACAGGTAAGTCCACTAAATGAATTGTATTCAAAATAAAGTTTAAACTTCAGCTACGTTTAGTCATTACTTCTAAATTTATTTTTTTTAAATCATTGCATTTAATGTTATTAACTGCCCATAAGTTACAACGTGAATTTTACATTGAAGAAAAGAATAGCTTATAAAACCGGAATGAAAGTATAAATACCAATGATTTCATTTAAGGTAAAGTATAACACCTTTGTTGTATAGATGTAAATATTCGTGAATCAGGAAATATTATGTAATTTATTCAAAGAACAGACTTTACTTACCTTAATGCATTGACTGCCACAGCACAAACAGGTAAAATACCTTGTAGGGCCATTTTTTAATTCTTTTTAATTCTAGTGGTTTTCTTGTCCCATTTATCTTGAAAACGACTTCAGTACCTAGTTTTTTTGTTTGAACTCCTAATAATTAAGCAAGTAAAAGCTACTGAAGGAAAATATATATTAAAATCATATAACAGTTTATAGAAAAAATCTTCTGAGAACGGAAACCAAGAATACAAAACAACTTTCCGTAGAAATAATTTTGACCGTATAAATCTGTGAAAAGCCGTGTGAAGCACCGATGCCTCACACAGCTTTAAACAGTACAAAACTTGTGAATCGTATTCGATGCACACGGTAAGTTAGGCTCCTGTGAATCATCGGTGATGCACATGACAGCCTAGGTGTTAATTAACTTCAAAGTAAAGCTAGTGTAACTACAACGGACCAAAAAAAGGGGGGGGGGAATTCTTATCTACCGTTCTACTGGGCCGATTAACGAAATTTAACTTGCGTTTTCCATGTGTCGGAAAGAACTATTTACATATATTAGATTTAAATGTAGCATCCTCCTAACATAGATATTTTGAAACAAAATTTGACATTTTCTGAAATGACATGCCAGTGTTTTCCATATTTCGATTCTACGACTCGTCCCAAAGTGGTGCCTTTTATTTGTAAAAACCGCACGAGTATTTTTTTAACAGCTAGCTCTCAAAACTTAAGCGCCTCAGTGTTAATCGAATTTCGTATATATTTATTAATACCTCTTTTATTATTAATTGATTCGTTCTTTTATAACGCGAAATTTAGTTCCAATCCAAATAAAATTATCATTTTTTTTTCCGTATTTAATTTTAAAATTTGGATGTTTTAGTAATCATTATAAATTTTACAAAAAACGTTTTGAATTATAATCTATCAAACTTTTGCTATCACCTTAAAGTAGATGTATTTTTAGGTACACCTTTAAAAAATTAAAATTTTTATTTAAAAGTTCCAAAGATATACATGAATTTATATATACTGGTGCATTTTTGAATTTGGTATATTTGTTATAAGCAGTAATAACGCCAAATGCGTTTTACGCATTTTGTTAAAAGTACTTGAAAGAATGAAATATGTGCTTTTTTTCCGCTCGTGCATAATGAAAAAAAAAAAAAAAGTTAATATAAATTAAGAATTCCACCAAGTGAATTTTTCTTGGCGCAAACTGAAAAAAGTGTGGCAAGATAAATTTTTAAATTGTTCGTTAAATCTCACAAATTTTATAAAATTTAATATTTAAGCGTAATTTGAGTTGTAGAATCGAAATTTGGAAAGAAGACGATATGCCATTTCAGAAAAAGTTCGATTTTCTGTCAAATTAACTGTGTTAGAACAATGATATATAAAAATCTAATATATATCCTAAGTCGCGCTTTGGAGACATAAAAAAACGCACTTTGAATTTCGTCAATCTATCCAGTAGAACGGGAGATGTAGAACTTTGCCATTTTTTTCCACAGTGTACACGTTAATAAAATGTACGTGCGCTTATTAGCGTACGGATTTGGAATAATTGACGGTAACACTTGGCGAGGAATCAAAACGCAATTTATTCGGTTGTAAGAACTATTACGCAGGGCAGTTCCAAAGGCACGTTTACATCCGTCAAAAAACTACGACAAACACGTTGAAACACTCAGCAATACAACCTTCAGGCTGTAACGGGGAAGACAGCTTCACGGCAAAGAACTAAAGTAGAGACTCGGTACTCTCGACTCGGTTGCTCGCTCTAAAGCTAATCTCTGAATTCAAGTCACTACTTTTTACCCATTCAGGCTAAGTATATATAGCTTTAACTTACCTTCGAGAATCTTCCCGAGAAAACCGCTAATAATGTCAATGTTCAGTTTGCTTACTAAAATGGCTTTACAAAACTTGTTTTTATCTTTTTATTATTAACGGTTTGTGTGTTCACTTAATTTATTAAATATCACGTTCTTGGTGCTTTCGCTACATAAAATTCGATTTAACAAAAAAATCGCAAAATATTTAAATATAGCATATCTTTAGGATTTCGGATAGACAGTCTCCCTCGCGTTGGAGATAAAAATGTTTTATTCCGTAGAGGGTTTCCACTGCTCGCCTTGAAATCATTGAGATTTTAATAAAAAATTCGTTAAAGTTTTACAAAATATGAAATACATAACAAAACAAATTCGAAATTGCAAGTGCGGGCTCCCAGGTGCCCATGTTCGGATGAGGACTACGTTATTCAAAGTATGATGGCTCTAACTATTGTTTTCTCACAGTACAAGAAACAGGCATACATTCATGCAGATTCTTCATTATTTAATTGCTTGCTGTTTTAAGACTAATATCTAATTTGGGATTAACGTCTCTTTTGGGCTTTAAAAATTCAAACAAAATATTAAAAAACAAATAATAAGTTTTCATGAATCATAATAAATAAAATGAAAAAGAACCATTGTTTTATTGTTTGTTATATATTCTACTTTGATGTCCACTTGATAATAATTCTATTTCACGTCGATTAATAATAATTGAAACTTATTCTATTATAATGAATTATGAAATATATGGGTTGGACAAATTGGTCTGTTCTTGACTTATAAATTTTAATCGTACATATTTTTATGGTTATTCGATTTGAAATTTTTTTGTAAGTAAACATTTGTGGTGAGTTCGTGTTTAATGCTTTTTCTCTCTCCTTAAAAGGAAAATTACTCACACAACCTGGCAATCTGATGCCCAAAAGAGTTAAGGTAGACAGAGATATAAATTGCAGGATGAATTTCAAGAAATATTGCTTCGAATCAGGTAAGACCTCATATTGATATCGGATGATATGGATTTGCTCCATATCGATGCTTTTATGATTTTTTTAAATTTAAATTTTAAAATGTTTAATTTGAAATTCAGTAAACATTTATGCATTGTGCAAGTTGATTGATTTCTGATGACTTATTGTGCCAACAATTCACCTATAGTAGTTTATTACAAATTCTTACACTAAGGAACAAGTTACAGAAATGTGTATGTTCACGTACTAACTGGAAAGAATTACGTAGTTGAGGAAAAGTGCGAGCTAGGCTATCTGTCTAAAGCGTAATCAATCCCCGAGGATCAATCATCTGAGGCTTCATAAAATATTTACGAAAATTACTATTCAATACGATTGTCTTCGAAGAAAAGCACAATGTAATGGCAAAATAAATTAACAACAAAATGAGAAAATCCTATTATTCGTTACTTATGGCTATGTAACGTTTTGTTGATACAGGATGGTACGCCATATAAAATTAATAGAACTCAAGAAAGGAATGGAGTTGGGGTATAACTGAATTCGGAGCAGAAGCATTGGTTTAGTGTAGGCAGAGTCGTAGCTAGGGTTTCAGCGTCCAGGGACAACTGAAGATTTCGCGCCCCCTACTGCTTGCCAAGGATGGAAAACATTTAATTCTAAAATGTCGTAACATCAGTTTGGCGCCCCTTGGATTCTGCGCCCGGGGACAGATGCCCCCCTCTAGCTACACCCCGGAGTGTAGGAAAGGGTGCTTCTTGGATTTGAACGCCAAATATCAGTGCTAGTACTGGTTTTCTAGTAACCTCAAATTGACTGTGTTCCCTCAGTGTTGTATCAAACATTTTTATTCCCTTGTACAAAGTAAAGGAAGTTTTGTCATCGCGAAATGTTTAAGGTATCAGATTTTAACAAAAATATCCATTTCGACCGCTCTCAAATCCATTTGAACGATGTTTTTGCGTGATGTCTGTACCTACGAACAGAACAAAGGATCCTTTTTTCCAAAACGGTTGTAAAGTGGATTTAATATCGGTTCAGAAGAAACTTTTTTCCTTGACATATGAACGTACGTATGTATCTCGCATAACTCAGAAACGAGTAGCTTCAGAACGTTGAAATTTTTGTTATGCGACTGCTATAAACATGTAGTTCGACCTTGGTTCGAATCCCAATGACCGGGCTACTTAAATGAGTGTTTTTATGGATGCGAGCCTGTTTTTTTTTTTATGAAATCCTTCACGAAGGCATCCCTTCCGCCAGACAGATAGCCATTGGCTTTGTTATTTTCAAATAAAACAGACCAATCGTAATTTTCGTTTTAAATATTTCTTACAAATTTTAAAAATGTCTTATAATTTTTCTCGCAATATATGCTGCTGCTAAGAAGCGTAATTACACAGTTTGTTTCGAAAATGATTACAGAACTATGTTTTCCTCTCAAACAGTTTGTGTTTCTAATTAAACAAATGAAACAAATAACATAAGTTTTAGGTTACTGCAATTGTGCCACATGGAACATTTTACTAAAAATAAATTTTGAATTTAATGTAATGTATGGATATTCATTTGGACATTATACGCAGAGAGCTTCTAATTAGTAAGCTCATCCTTATCCTGCTAAATATTTTTTATAAGAACGTTGGTTGTGTAATATGCGGAACTGGTCCTAAAAATTATAATTGGTCGGATAAAATATATTCTTTTCGGTAAATTTTCAGTGGAATATTTGAAGCCTATGCTTTCGTTTTCCCGTGTCAGTAGGGAAAAAGGTACTTTTCAGGAATTTGCAATTGAAAGTTAACATCCAGATCACATTCGCAGCAATATTTATGGATGATGCCAAAAATATTTGATTAATGATCTTCGAAATAATTTACATCGCATGATAACGGCTCTCGAATGGATTGCTTGGATAATGGAAGAGCACATAAGGGTTATCTGACCATGCGGAGGAACATCTTTGTTGAGAACGTTATAAGGAAAACTGGCTTGAATTCACGTTATACTTGAAACCGTCCCCTCAACCAATTCGTTCTGGATTTGAACCTTGGTCCAAATACTAGTATTCAGTGAACTTACCTCTCAGGCATTGGATCAAGAATGAATCAAGTTCGACTGAAAATTTGTCGTTGCCCTTTTTTGTCCAGGAGACAATTAAAAATGTCCGCTTTGTGTAATTTTATTAAAAATGTCAATTGATTAGCATGAACGTTTGTCTTACTTGTCTATTTAAAAAAAATTGAAAACGTTGTATCTCTAACCATTTATTACAAAGGTGTACACCCCAGTAGATGTTTTGAAACACATGATTAATCAGATTACATAGATAAAAAGAGTTGTGATGAATTCATGAATTTAATTTATTTGGAAGGACTACATGAATTTTAGGCTTTCGGAAAAAGTATTCATGACAGAAACTTAACAATTTACTAGCATAAAGCACGGGCTTTCTTTGACTTTTCTAAATGAAAGTAGTTTAACGGCTAATTATATGTGATATTGATGCTTTTTGTATCATACATACCTTACTTTACTAGGTGAAAATATTTGATGTGGACACCACATGACTTCCTTATACTGCCTATTGAATTATGCACATTTTTTCTGCACATCATTTAACACTGTATTGCTGCACTTAATAAAAACGCAGAACATCTTTATTAAAAATTGTAAAATACAATACTGAAACATCAAATGAAATTAAAGAAGTTAAGGAAAAAAAAACTGTTTCTACAATTAAAGTTTCTATTCAAAAATAAGCATTTCAGACAACGAAAGAAAGACAAAATTTTCGGTGGGCAAAACTGAAAGCTAACTTTCGGTCCCACTGTGCAAAAAGACACGAAAATGTGGTGCACCAATTGACTTAATTCATTCTTCTATTAAGAGTTTCAGACGAAAACAAATGGTTGGCTCGTTAAGCCTAGCGTCATTTAAACTTTTAAATTGTGGATAATTCTACAGCTATTACATGTGGATTAACTAAGGGCATGAAAACCTTAACTGGACCATAAGAAAACACAGTTCAACCAATTTAAAACTAAAAATTTATAATTTACCAGCATATAAAAGTAAAAATACAGAGCTCCCTGAGCCGAGTAACAAGGTGGGAATATATATGTTTTGTGCAGCCTATTGCAACGAAAAAGGGAGGTGGATAACGGCATGTTATAGCAATGCCATATACAAAATTCCAACATTCTATGAGTGCTCGTTATGCCAAATACATACATACGTACCTACGTACGTACAGACGGGACGAAAAAATCTCTTTTTAATCCACTTTAAGTCAATTTTACATTCCGCTTTGGAAAAAAAGAGTCCTTTATTCTGTTCATACTTATAGACGTCATGAAAAAACATCATTCAATGGATTGGAAAGTGGTCAAAGTGGACATTTTTATTCAAATATGATACCCAACATGTTTTGCGATTACAATACTTCCTTTATACAATACTTCCTTTACTTCGTACAAGGAAGTGAACAGAGTGAGATTAAAAAATGAGGATTAAAGTAAGATATTTAAAAAGGAGAGGTTTAAATTAAATCTCGGGAAAAAAAGGATTCTCAGATTAACAGGAATACTAGTATATCAATTACAGAAATATCGCCTTAAATTGAATATAATTCTTGTAGCATCTATGATATCTAAGTACTGAATAAATCTTTTGAAGACAAAATATCAGAGAACATTTCAGCGTAGATACAAAAGTAATAGAACTTAGTCAAAAATAACTAAGAAGGGTTACACTTATGGTTTAACATTTATTCAATATATTTAACATATAGAGTCATGCTCTTGGATAAAATGACCGGAAGCTTAAATTCATTGGATCATTTCATTATCAAAGTAATAGAACTTAGTCAAAAATAACTAAGAAGGGTTACACTTATGGTTTAACATTTATTCAATATATTTAACATATAGAGTCATGCTCTTGGATAAAATGACCGGAAGCTTAAATTCATTGGATCATTTGAAAGATTTTCGGAATAACTCGGAATTACATTTTGCACTGTTATTAGAACTTTACACTATAACTAATTTGTGAATCAATTTTATTTGTTCGTAACAATTTATGTTATTCAAATGAAGCACACGCAAACAATAAACAGTATAATTAAATACTGGAATGTTAAGAGCTTCTTTACTTTAACTGTTTGCGGGAAACAATCTAAAAATGTACGCGCACCCAGAAGAAATAAATTTGTTGGATCTCATTTTCAGAAGTGATGAAGATCTAGATCTGAGGTGTGTAGCCATTTCAATAATAAGAATAGACAAGTTTGGCACTAATGTTTCGAGCAGTGGCCGTAGATAGGGTGGGGCAAGGGGGGACATCTGTCTCCGGGCGCAGAATCCAAGGGGCGCCAAATTGATGCTACGAAACTTTTTAATGAAATGTTTTCCATTTTGGGCACACAGAAAGGGGTGCAAATTCTTCAGTTGTCCCCGGGCACTCTGGAAACTCTAGCTACGGCCCTGGTTTCGAGACAAGAGTTTTGTATTTCAAGCTTACATTTAAATATCAGAATGTTTTACTATTGCTTTATTTAAAACTATGATGCTATTTAGTTTTTTTTTTTTTTTTTTTTTTTTGCTTGGACTAATTTAGTTTTAATTAATTTTTTCCAGGTGATTCTAGAGGAAACCAACACACTATTTTGGCATCCTTGCACAATCTTTTCGTTAGAGAACATAACAGAATAGCTACTCAGTTGAAAATTCTGAATCCTCATTGGGATGGAGAAACAATATTCCAAGAAACAAGGTTGGACATTATTAAAGCAAATATTTTACCTATGCTGAGGATAACGATAAGCTATTTTTAATTTTAATATCATTTTTTAAGATTAAAAAATGTTAACAGACCATAAACTTGTAGAGACATTAGGTATTTTTGGAAGCAGGTAAGATGAAAAATTAGCAACGTTTTCGCCGGGAATAGAACCGCTGTCCTCTGGAATACCGGCCTACCTTGCAGACCACTACACCACGAAGGCACGCTAGGAAGGTGGGAGAAATACTTTGTAAACTAACAAACATTACCATGCAATCGACGTAAAATCTAACAAAATGTAACATATAAGGCGTGGAAATCCAAGCGAAATAAAAGACATGACAAATCCCAAACAACATCTGACTTGAATAGTAATTAGTGACCTTGACTGTCGTACCGAAAGGTACGGGTTCGAAACCCGGAGAATGCATAGCTGTTTGTAAATGTAATAGTATCTGTACGGCATAGGGCACTCTAAATATGCGGAGAACCGAAAGTCTTCTCAAGAGGTTGTGATACAGGAAGAAGGGTGAGAGACCCTCGGACCCTACACCGGGGTGCTCTTCCTCGAAACTGATGCAGCACTGAGCTTAAGTAGGCTGTCACCTATATAGAGTTCAATGCTCATGCCAAACGACAGGCGCATTGGCTCCTTGCCACAATAGATGTCGTGGGTTTGGGCTGACTGCTGTTAGGCAAATGAGGTTGGTAACAACAACAATTTAACTCTTGTTCTTGGTACTCTATGTAGAAAGGCTGTTCGCACATTTTTTAGACGATTTTAGTTTGCTATGGAAAAAAAAAAGTATTCTAGTCGGAAATTTTTCTAACTGCAACTCTATTTTTGTAAAATAAATTACCGTCTGCTACTCGACAGTTTTGTCTTAATGCAATATAGGGCTTTTAAAAAAGCTGTGGGTGGAAGGCTTTGTTTGTGCTCTTTCCGAAGAAAATTATTCTAATCTAGTTATTAAAAAACTCTGCGAAGGCCACGATGTTTCGAAATCTAAAGCTATGATAGGTAATATTGTCAACAAGACAGGATAAAAACGTCAAAATTCAGCTTGTGGAAAAGTTGTTCCATTATTCAAGATTAAAATGTAATGCTTCGAATGACGCAAAGTTAAGGTTTGTAATGTTAAAAGAAAATCGAAAAATCAAACGACAGTCCAAAATCATTAATGTGCTCAGTGTCATCTGTAAACAAAGTTGTTAATGCTGATTTGAATCTTAAAAGGGTGTAGAAATACGTATAATGTGCTTTGCCCTTTCTCCACGACATATCGCTGAACGCAGAACGTGCTGCGAAGTTCTTACGAGAAACCTTTATCGGACGAAAACGGAAACATTTTGCCACAGTAGATGGATCTTGGGTATATTTAAAAGTCTAATAAAAAGAGATGCATTTATTATTGTAATCAAAGAGGAGAGAATAATCTTAAAACATAGTTTAAAGAATTTAAAGAAAGACTTGAAAGGAATTTATTGTTGGTAGTTTGTCACATAACGGGAAATTAAAAATAAGGAGAGTGGAGAAAAATTTTCAGATCCATATATTATCAGGAACGTTTCTGATACCTTGTTTTCAAATATGAAATTTCCCCTACCTCTAATGTCATCAATCAGAAGAACTGCATCAAGACAAAGCAAACATCCACACCTCAAAATCCAGTCTTCATTTCCTGGGAAAAGGGAACAAGAAACGGGTATCAAGAAACGGGTATCAAGATCATAGCCTTCACTCATATCCCTACCAAATCACTTGATGTATCATCCATGGCATTTTTGCGCTTTTGGGCTTTTAAAAAGCAGAAAAATCGACCTTACAAACCTCTTTGGACATTGGAAAGCTGTTCAAGACGAATATGATTAAACTAGAAAGCCCGGCGATCATACGAAATGACCGATGTTCTAGATATTATAAATTGTAATTATCATGATTTGTGCAAAGGTGTTTGCCAATTCAAACTGAATTACCCAGGGCAGGCGGCGAGGACGCCCCTTTGCTTACTGCCCCACGGGGTTTCCACCTTCTACTTGCTTAATTGCTTAAAGCAGAGTGCAATGAAGAGAACCACTGGCGGTACATTTAAATAATAAAATGTTAATTCACATCTCAAAGATCTATTTGTACACAACATTTCTTGTGTAGATCTTTCCATCATTTTTAAGCTCGCCTTGCAGAGGACCATCCATTATTTTTAGTTTTACGTCCGTTCTTTCACGAACTCTTGAACAGGCAACATAAAGCTAACCGTGTCCAAATGCAGGTTTAGGTAAAAAAATGCCAAAAACGCTTGGTTATAGCAAAGGCAAGTTTTACAGGAAATTGCCTACGTCTCTGTACGGCAACCCTGTGCCGTGGCAACTTCACCCCATTGGCTAGTATAGTTACACAAGCAACCAATAAACTATCGGCGACAAATCGACACTTAATCCGCATATATATATATATATATATATGGGGTGAAGTAACATCATCTCCTCCGGCCTTCGTAGTCCATTCGAGATTTGGAAGTGTTGGCATGAGGTGTTGCTGTTTGATTAGAGAAATTGTTCTTTCTGTCTACGGCGTTGCTTTATTCCGGCGATTTTGTCAAGCAAGAGAAAACGACATTGCTCTTACTACTGAAGCTCATCCTGAGTTGCTGTCGTCTCTTCTTGATGTTAACGATAAGTATGTTTTCTTTATTCTTTTCGCCATTAGGTTAAAAGTTAGGATTCATGCATATCATGGACAAGGAGGCGATGGAAAACCGTATCAAATCTGTGTGTGATCACAGAAATCTGGAAGTTACCTGCGATAACTTAGATAAACTTAAGCAACTTATGCTTTCTGAGTTTCATGCTTATCAAAATTCATTTAATCCAAAAAATGCGACTGAATTTCACTCAGCCCACGTCAATGCTATGGAAAAGGATATACAAATCTTAGAATTATACATTAATGAAATAAAACAAAAAGAAACCCTAAATAATCCAACAGAGAAAACAAATCAATCTGATATTACTGCTAGTCAAAAATCTAGAATCAAAAAGAAAACCACAATAGATAAAGAAGGATACATAACCCCTAGAAAAACTCATAACGAGAACTCTATCAAATTCCGAAATTGAAGAATCAGGGAACTAAACCCTGAAGACAATATGGAAGCAGAGGAAGGTGAATTTATTACACCCAACAAAAAAGCAGGACAATTCCCCCTATAGTCTTAGCAGACTTCAAGGGGGATTGGGATAAGATGAAAGAAGATTTTGAAGAGCAATTAAATCTAAAAAAATATCCTGGAAACCTAAGTGGAGGTACACTGGCTATAAGAGTTTATGACTCAGACCACTACCGCACAGTTACTGAATACCTAACTAAACTACATATTCCTTTTCATACTTTTAAACTCAACAGCCTATCAAGGCAATAATTAAAAACCTAAAGCAACTTTAAGCCTATCAAGGCAATAATTAAAAACTTCCAAAAACAGCTAATATGGAACTAATCAAAAACGAAATTGCCCAAGAAGGTATCCCAATTAAAAAAATTCGACAAGTAATTCACACTATTGAAGGAAAGAAAGTTCATCTTCTTATTTTTATAGCAGAATGTACTAGAAATAAAGAAGGTAAAAGAATATATGATCTAAAGAAACTCAGAGGTCTGGATGTCTTTATCGAGCCTTTTAAAGCTCGCCCTGGACCCGTGCAGTGCCATAAGTGCCAAAGGTACGGGGGCACACACGGGACAAATGTCACTATAAACCTCGCTGTTTAAAATGTGCAGAGCCTCATGAAACATTCACTTGTAAACAAACAAAAAAATGACAACAAACCCCTGTCTGTGCCCTCTGTGGGCAAAATCACGTTTCTTCCTTCAAAGGTTGCAGTGTAAACATCCTTATAATGTTCAGAAGCAAATCGAAGAATTTAAAGCTTTAAAAAGAAGAAAAGAAAAAAGAACAATTTAAATTTAACAAAAAGGATTTTTCCTTCACTCCCTGAGAACAAACCAAAAAATGCATGGAATACTTCCAAGGAAAATGAAAACAATAATAAAACAGAAGACACAAACTCAAACCCACTTGGCTTTTTTAACTGGATAAAAATTCCAATTCACTCAAGTTAAAGAATTCTTCCAGAAATTTAAAACAGCAAACACAATATTTGACAAACTAGAGGTCGGTATGGCGGCCTTCGAATATTTCTCAAATCTAAACTATGAATTTTAATCAAACTCATAGTCAAATAAATTTTATCTCAGCTACAAATAGCTTCTTAAAGATTTGTTACTATAATGCAAACGGCATCAGATACCAACAAGTGGAAATTTCAAATTTTCTTACTAGACATAACATTGATGTTATGCTAGTAAATGAAACCCATCTCCGCTCTTGCGACAAATTTAAAATACAAGGCTACCGCATCTACAGAAAAGACAGAAGACATAATAGAGGAGGAGGAGGAAACGCAGTTCTCATTAAAAACCATATCAAAAACAGCCAAATATGATTTAAACCCTGCTTGTACTATAGAAAATGCTGCAGTACTTATCTATAGTCGTTTTAGAGAACCTTTTCTTTTTATCTCCGTCTACAATCCCCCCTCAAGCACTCTTGATCTCAATAATCTGAGACTACTTACTGAAAATAACTACCCCACCTTAATAGCAGGTGATTTAAATGCTAAATATTCCTCTTGGAACTGTAGAGTCACAAATAGAAATGGAAAAAATTTAAACAACTTCATCCACAATAGTAACATCAATCTCATTGCTCCCAATCACCCAACGCACTATACGCACAACGGACTCGGAGATATTTTAGATATAGTTATGATGAAAAACCTTCCTAATATTCCTAATCTTGATGTTCTCTCAGAACGTTCGTCTGACCATCTCCCTATAGTCTTCAACTTCTATGGATTTTATCCCCCTCTCCCTAAAGCTCATACAAAAGTTAATTGGTATATGGTTACCGAACAGCTAAATTCTGTAAACAGCA